CATTATGCTATTATTATTATGTTAGATTCAAAGCACCTCATATTGTTACACTGTTCTACTTTTTCGAGGAAGAAAATACTTTAAGTACAGTATATCTACCAATTGTCTGAAGTTTTTTTTTTATTTGCACTACAAAGAGTGTATATATTTGTCATTTATTTTTGGTAAAGTGCTTAACAAGCACAATTTAATTTTCCCCAGTTGTGGCCTGTTGAGGGGCAATAAATATCAAAAGTTCCAAAACATCTATTGTGTTATTTGTATGGATCCACTATATAAACATAATATCTACATACATGGCATTTGATTGGAGGCTAGTCTCACTTTGTCCCACAGCAACATTAAAATAGTTTAGATTTGTGTACATTGTTTCTGTTAATAATGTATTGTATTGTTGTAGTGTCCATTTCATTATAATATTCAGATTTATCATAAATAATTGAACATGCACATGTATTTTAAGTTCCGTTAAAGAGGGGTGGAGGTGGGGTCACATTTGAGCATTTAAAAATGTACTTGAAAGTAACTTAAATAGTTACTTTCTGAAGTAACTACTTACTTTTATAATTTGTAACTGAGTAACTAATTTAGTTACTTTTGGAAGAAGTAACAAGTAACTGTAACTAATTACTTTTTTAAAGTAACTTTCCCAACACTGATCCCAACACACAGAAGATGAAATTCAAGTCGAAGCAGACTGAAATTTTCTGATGACACATAACAGGATTTCTGTGCTCCACTTTCTACCAGTTAATCATTGTTATTTACTGTTGGGTCTCAAACTGTTCACCTTTACTGATCCTTTCAATGTTAATTCTAACATTACGAATCATACATAAGACTATATATACTACTATATAAGTAAATCAGGGAGCTGCGTTTTTTCTGGATAAAAAGCACCATAACGTTTACATTTCTCAACTGAATTCATTTCATTGAGGTTTATGATAAGCGTGGAGTCATTTTTTTTGTCTCCAGTATAAGCCTAATAGCGGCAAGATGCTCAAGAGAGGAGTGTATGAAGGCATACATGATTTGATTTATTAACATGATGGAAAATAATTCATTGTTATAATATTTATAATAATCATAATGTTATCTACAGGCTGCAGCACCTATGACCTTTTGCTGTCATTTATGGTCGTGCTTGTCTGTCATCTCCTCTGCCAGACAGAGGTCAGGGTTCAGCTTCATACACACACACACACACACACACACACACACACACACATACACACACACAGCAGATAGACAGCAGTGCAGTTTACTCAAGTAGAGATTAGCAAGTGTGGTGGACAGGTGGACGTATGAAATGAGTGGGCCGCAAATGCCACATCTGTGGTGAATTGTGATAATTAGCCAGTCTGCGTTTTCTACTACGAGACTGTGTTTCTAGTCGGGAAACAGCAGTAGCAGTTTTTCCAGAGCAAGTGAGGCGGAGGCTATGTGACTTTGTACTGTGTGGTATTGTAATCATGGGCTGAGAATAAAGGGATATTGAGTAGCACTGCGATTCAGACAGTGCTTCTGCTGTGTCGAGTCTCTTCAGCCTCACCACTCTGGAACGCTTCACCAAACAAACACGGTTGGTTTGTCAAAAGCGTGGTATTTCATTACTGTGGTTATCGTGACAGCCCTAGCATCCAGTGTCAATCAGCAGCCATTTGATGTGCTGAAAGGTCAATAATAAGACACTGAACCTCCTCCGTCCTCATACAGCTTTCGTAGGGGCCATTTTTACTGTGTGACTACTAAACTGAAACCAGTAGATCCTCGGAGAAGCATGGGTCAAGCTGTACTCTTATATGTTACTCATGTAACTCTTCTCTTAACTGCTAAAGTTCTGCTGCATGTTTGCTTCATCCTCAAGAATGGCTACAGTAACACACAACCCTGTCATACTGTAGTTACTAACTAACTAACAACGAAAGACATTTAATTACTTTGTTTAAGACATTAAAATATGTTATTACTTTTTTGAAAAGACCTTTTTGTCACGGCCCATCGGCCGTGATCCTGGTCTCCTTCATGCCACTAGTGGGCGTGGCCGCTAGAGCTCCTGCCTCCACACCTGTGGCTCATCACACTACTCAGCACTCCTGTTCCTCATCACCGTCAACTCACCCTTCATAAGCCAGGCCGACCTTCCAGTCCCCGCCGAATCGTTGAATCATCTAGTATGAAAACACGCCAGCCAACCAGAAACTTTTGCTATTAAGAAGTACCTGTTACTAACTTGTTTTTTCCCCTGTCTCACCACCAGACCCAGAGCACTGGAGCCCGGACCCCATACCCACTCTCTGTCTCATCTGCCTCATTTGCATCTCAGGCCATTCAATCCACGTTTGTTTGTGCACTTCAATAAAATCTCTTTTTGAGACTTCAAACTCTGGTCTGCACTTGAGTCCTTGTCACCAGCCCTGACACTTTTCATATACTGGTTTTCTTTAACCCAGTAAAATGACTCATTCAAATTGTAACCTGTAATGTTTAAGAAACAGAATACCTGTGTTACTAAGGCAGTATTGTTACAGGATCTGAATAAATAGTCCAGTACAAGACATTTGATCACAGTCAGAATTAATGTAATCAGAGAAAAAAATGGTTATATAAAACGATAAGTAAATTATCCAGTTAAGTTTTAAGTTAAGTTACTTTTTATCTTTGTACCCGAAGCACTGTGACAGGACCTGTCAGTACTGAAGCACAGAACAATACATGCAGAGAATAACTTTAGTCAGCTGGATCTGAGGTCAGGTTACAGGTTTGACTTGACAAGGCAAAAAAAAGAGAAAGAAAGAAAGAGAATAAAAGAATAATAGCACAGCGTAAGACCACCTTCAAAAATCCAATATAAAAGAAAAGCTATTTCTCCAGTTCACAGCCAGATACAACCAGTCAGACCACCAAATGAAGAAAAGGGGAAAACAGTGACAACCTGTGATGTACTTCTGTACAGTACACCTTTTTCACCCCGTCGTGATGCATCTAGCAACCCAGTAAAAAATGATTTGGCTATTTGCAGGTTAAATTAATTCTAGATGTTTAAGTTAAAACTGGGCTAAATTTGGTTGAAAAATTTACTTTTGCTCATGCTAGAAGCATGTTCTAGGGATTTCAATATTGTTTAGTTGGTCCAACACCATGCTCCTAACTCTACAGCTATTGGTTGCATTGCCATGAAAGTTTGTACAAACATTTGTGGTTCCCAGAGATTGAATTCTATTGACCTTACTGATACACGGTAAACTCAACTTCTGATTTAGTGCCATCATCAGGTAAAACTTATTAATAATAATAATAAATAATAATTTGTAATTAGTAAATGTTATCATGCTAACATGTTAAACTAAGATCACCATCAGCATGTTAGCATTGTCATTGAGCATGTAAGCATGCTGACATTAGCATTTATCTCAGTACAGCCTTGCACAGCAGCTCTGGTTTAACTCTTTATTACATAATATAATCATTGCATTGGCTATATTTCAGCATGTAGTTAGGACCTGATTCACATTAAAACATGGTCAGTTAAATACTATTGAAACAAAAGTTATATTTAATGTAGATCAGTCAAATTTTACTCAGTTTTAACCATGTCTGGATAGCCGACATACTGTTCTGTTACAAACTCTAGAGACCTCTCTGAAAAATGTACCAGTCCATTTAGCTAATAAAAGAGCAAAGCCTCATTCTGGTAAACAATTTTGCTTTGAAGGGCAGAACAAAAATGCAGGAGCAAATCAGAAAACATGTTGTAAAAATAGAGTGATTACTTCCATTGCCCCATCTGAGCCATGCCACCTAACATTAGGCCTGTCAGGCTGTCAGTGCTTTCTCTTATTCTGCTGGTTATGTGTCTCCGCACCAACAGATGACTACACCATCCCTTTTCACCCGAAATTAGTCGTCATGGATGTACATACAAGGAGCAGCAATACTAGTGCAAGCAAAAAAAGTGAAGTGGGATTTCTACATCAGCTACATCTCTACTTCTTCTCCCCATGGAATCAGACTGGCCTGGACAATTCATTAGATTTATCACTGACTCACCCACTTATCTGAGCTAGGCATGTAATTTCACTTTCCATCCATCCTACCTGCTCCAACCACAAATTCCCATTTAGTAGCCTGTGCCAGCCGACCAGACTGGAGTCCCACAGGCGGCCGACGCTCCCTTTCAATTTCAGTAAGGCCTATTAAAGACAGCTATAGCAAGTCAGCTAGCAGTGGATACCTGGCCTGTATTCATCTAAGGGCTGACATACACTCCAAAGCTTCAATTTCTCTCTGCATTTGTCTTAATACATCCCAAGAGGTTGGTGCAGAACATGCTGTTGCTGCTAATATAAGTGACACTGCGCCGCTGAGCAAAAAAAGTAAAAAGCACCTAGAAGAAACATGAGCCTTGCTTTGGCTTTGGTTTCCAGTTTCTTCCAGTTGCTTGGAAATAAAACTTATGTCATTTCAGCTACTTAAACTTGGTGCAAAAGCAAAAAATGTAAATGTACTCATTTAACTATGACAAAAGAACTTTATGTGTGATAGACACGTTTGAATACTGACTCTGAGTTTATATTCAAAAGCATTTTATCCGGAGCACATTGGCCATTTTATCATGTACTAGTTTGAAGAACTACATACCAGAAGAATAAGCTGAATGTCACCTGGCTTATATTTATGTACCATGCTTTTGGAAATTTAAACCAACAGAAGAACATCATCCTTCAGTTGATGGCAAAACATAAACATCACTACATGTGTGAGGTTTCTATATATCAGATATATTTACAGTGAGTGTACACTGTATGCAGCCAGAAGATGTATTGCAAAAGAGCTAACATACAGCTGCAAGAACAGGGAAAAACACTAAATTGAGTTATAATAAATACAAAATTTACTGATGTAATGATTACAAAGGGTCTTGGTCTTCATTGAATGTTCATAAAGTTTATACAATGAGTAATATGTTTTAAGAACAGAAGCAGGGTGATACTCACAACATGAAGTCTTGTTCCCAACATGGCTGGTCCCCACGGACTGTGATGGTGGTACTCTTGACATTTTGCACCTTTAAAGTCACATAGGCGTTGAATTTGTCTGAAAAATATAGAGACAAAACAATTTCAAAAAAGATTTTGCATTTTAATTGAATACCTGTTTGGGTTGATGCCTTATAAAACATCATGTGAGGAGGTATTTTATCTTACAGAATAGTTCATTTAATGGGACCAAAATTGTGCAGCAATTTTTGAATACATTTACATGTTTAAAATATTATCTTGTAACTCACTGAAAAAAACATTACGTTATAAAACAAACATCATTTTTCTTTTGTCCTGTCCTGTTAATACCATCCCGAGGCTCCAGTGACCCATTTCAGTTATTGACTGAACTCCAGGAGAAAATATAAATTCCCTCTCTACAATAATACAGTAAATAGCCATTATTTTTGAAGCAGTGAAGCATCTCTAGAGACCATGACAAGATGAAGGGGAGATAACAAAGACTAAAATCTCTACCTAGTGAGGAATAATTACAATTACCGATATAGAACAAACAACAACTAAAGAACACACACCTTAAGGAACACGCACACACATAGATATCATGCAGAATTTAATATCACACACTAATATAAAGGAGATAAAGACATTATCCCCAACCCAGCTGCAGGATATGACCACAAAACACAGAGCATATGCTAATTTTAGCCGCCTGTGCAATACATTATGCTTTCTCCTTTAAATCCCCAAACAGTACAAACACCATAAACCAGTGTGGACAGCATATTTGTGCAGAACTGTCAGACAGCATTGGTCAAGTGCAAGTGGGATTAAAGGCAATCAACAGCCATGTCATAACTCCAACAGAGTCCTAAAAACAATAATAATGTCTTTTGCCAAGATAAAATAGGATCAACAGACATGTTGATCTGCCTTCAGAGGTGCCACACTAACTTTTGAAAAATCAAACTACATTCTACTACATCAATGACATTTGAGAAACATTGCATCCCATAAAAAATATGGGTTCAAAAGTCTTTCCCCAAACTGTGAAACCTGAATAATCAATTATTGCCACATCTTTATGACCTTCTACATGAAATGTTACATTTTATTGGGTTGGGGTTAAACTGCTGGTTAAGGACATTTTCTCATTATGTTGATTTAAAAATGCCATCTATGTGGCATTACGTTTCCTTCAAATTTGTTGTTCCAAATGAGGTCAGAAAAGTGTTCTGAAAATCTTGTTCTGAACCTCCGATGCTACTAAAATGTTAAAAAGGAAATAAAAATGCTTAAAAACAGCCAAGTTCAATAACGAAAGTATGAAGAGCAATGAATGACAATGGTACAGACATTCAATAAAGTTTTTCAATAAAAATATGTAAATGGAAGATTCATTTGTACTCTTCAAGAGGAACTGCTAAAAGAAAAGGTGTTTAGTTGTCTTTCCAGCCAGTGAAATTAAGTGTAATATCACTGCATTTTTTTATGTCTTCTGTTTATCTATTTCTGTTTTTTATTTCTAAACAAATTATCATTATTAGCGTTTAGCAATGTAGTGTGTAAAGATGCACAATTCTAAAAGTGGAAAATTCTATTTTCAACCAATGAATCCTCCATATTTGGGCACCCAGGACAAAAGTAGGAGGACAAAGACAGAAATAAACAATTGCACCTTAAATAACTCTACTGTGTGCATTTTAATAAGACTCATTTGCAAGAAGGTGTCACTAATAACTGTGGAAGCGCTGAACAATTTGTACCAAGAAAAAGCCACTTCAGAGTCTCATTTCATTTTCTCATCACACTCTGACGGTTGTACAGAGAACTAACGTTATATGACCCTTTCCCATCTTTTCAATGACGCAGGTCAGCATTGATCCAGGCTTAATATATTCAGATTCAGACATATTAATGCTACATGTGGTTATTCTACAGAGATCAACTGGTGCAAGGATAATTGCCTTCTCTTTTCCTGGAAGTTTCTCCTTGTTCTCATTGAGGGTCTGTGATTATTATTTCATAATATGTGACCTGCTCCATCATTTTGAGTCACTTTGACCCAGAAACACATTTTGAGTTTTCTTCATGGCTGTAAAGAGGAAAGTCTCAGCTTTATGGCGATACCAAAATTATTTTTCTATTCCAAAATTGTATGAGACACGCCCTTCCAAAGGTCGACTGTCACCAAACCTTGTTTTTGAGAAAAAGGGCTCTAAAGATAGCAATCAACATTCCGCCATATTCCAAATGAATTGAAAGACATTTATAAACAGTTTATATTCAAGTAAATAAACTTTACTGCTTTACTGCTTTACATAATTATAATCAGAGACATTGTATGCTACCATCGGGTCAGCCACGAGTGGAATATCTTCCTCCTCGCCTCCGTCACACTCACTTTCTTCGCCATCACGATCGGAGCCGGCCGGTGTCGGTAGCACAAAATACCGGAGGTCGAGCCGCCGCTGTCACTCTCACTCTCAGCTGCCGGTGCGGTGAGAAAGTCCGTAATAAGGTCGATCCAGTTGTCGTCTGAAGTAGCATGTCTTACAGGAATTGAATTTAAAAGTTGAGCAATTTCGTCGTCGCGAAGATTCATTTTGTCTAAGCTGTCAATCTGTCAATCTGTCTCAGTGTCGATCTAAACTGACAGTTGACAGATGACGTAGATGACACAAACACCTATCCTTTGTATTTTACATTAATTTTGACATTGTATGAAAGCTGAGACTTTATTTAATTAGAAACATGTAAAACTGAAAATAGCCCAAAATTGTATTTTCTTGTAAAAACGTGTTTCTACATAAACGGGCCGCTGCGACATCCGACTCATTTTGATGGGCGTTGTGAAGCACTTTGATGTTAATGGATACATCAAATTAACTCCTTCACTTTTACTTAACTACTGTATACATGCACTCATTATTTTATTGGTAGTCACAAAGATGTAGCCTCCTTATCAAGTCCTTTTTGTGCCTAATCTGCCCAAACGTTCAAGGTCCAGTGTGTAGGGTTTAGTGGCATCCAGCTGTGTTGTTGCAGATTGCAACTCCTTCTCGTCTTTCTGGGATACTATTTAATTTGGAGGACCTGTTGAGAATATAGCCCAAATTTGACCTACCACACCTACTCAATATTCGGGCAAATGTTTACTTTTAAAGGAGGATTTACAAAATAAATCGTAAAAGAAAATAAATTATTGTAAAATACTAATTCTTCAAATACAATGTAGCTTTTGTTTGGTTTTTTTGGCATAACTTTGTTATATCAGTGCACAAGTGACTGTGGAGTTTGGTCACAGGCATCTCTCATGTAATTATGTTTAACCAAGATTAAGGTTAGGGCAAGGCAGTGGTTATAGTTAAGGTTACTGTGGGTAAAGTCTCCAGGGAATTAATGCAAGTCAATGTAATGTCCTGCTTAGAGGCAAAAACAGGTGTGTATGTGTGTGTGTTCTGTAACTCACAGTGATCAACATAATCATCATAAACCGAGGAGCTTTGAGCCACCGACCACCTAATCCCTGCTTGATTACCTTCCTCAAGTAGCCCACTCTTCGCAGAGAGCCCAATGCACATAACGCTGAAAGAGCGTATGCAGTGCTGGTGTGTGTATTTGTGTGTCATTGTACAGCTCTGTGTTCTCAATTTTACAACCACTTTCTTTTGAAGAGGGCCAGTGGAGCTGAGGGCAGCGTCATTGGATTTGGGGTGAAGATGAGGTGAGGGACGTGATCATTCAGCTGCATAAATGAATACATTGCAGCCAGGGTTTGGTTCCAACACCCAGATTCCAATTTGGATTCATTAAGCTGCAAGTCTTAATGAAGTCTTCATGAATTGCTTCAAGAATTGATATCTATTCCTGCCTACCCTACTTAGCAAAAATTATGGTTGTGATGGTTTTAGTAAGAGCTTTTTAAATAAGGTGCAGCAACTGACATAAAGCGTGTCCTGTGACAAGACATGGTTTACGTTGAAACAATAGTTGCTGAAGTTTGACCGCTGGCTCCAAATAAACAGCATGGCAATGACCATAATGCTAAAAAAAATCTATGCTTTTGAAACACCACAAACCAATGGGCGATCACCCCCTGCTTGGTCTGAACACCATTAGAAAAAGTAGTGAGTGATCAGTAGTGTCCATGACTCTACAATTTGGTAGAGACAGGGTGCTGAGGGGTGGGTATGTATGTATGGGAAGTTAGCATTGCAAGGAAGGACCTTATGGACTCAATTTTGCAACAAAAAGGTTAACATAGTCACTGGCAAAAGGGATGCAAAGCGTAAATCAGATCTTGTGTTTTGGTAAACATACTGTTGCACACAGATGTGTTTCTTATATGTATCCAATTTCTGTCTAGAAATCCCCCAAGAGCTCTTTGTTGATTACATCATCCTGCTTTAGCAAAGAGAGCAGGGCAGCACTAAGCTAATAAAGCAACACTGGGGAGAAGAAACTCACAGAGCACGGGAAGCCCCCTGCATTTTGTAATCCTTATTTATGCAGGGAGGGTTGATGAAGCACTTGACCTGCTTCAGTCAAAAGATTTGCATGGAAGTACCATATTGAACTTGTCTGTAAAAAGACTCTGAAGTCAATTGGTATCTTGAGTAGAGTTTGTTCATTGTTTAATCATTCCTGTATTTTTTTTTTATTAATTTCACAAATCAAATATATATTTATTTTATTTTATTTAGCAATTAATGGATCTCATTATAATATATTTCAACTGGTAAATCTAGAAAAATATCAGATCAAGAAAAAGATAGCTGAAAAAGAAAGCCACAAATTAGAGATAGGTAGTTAGAGATGTTTTTTGGCCAGATGTTTGAAAGGGGTAAATTAACACTTTGTAATCTTACAATAATCTTTATTGCTCCAGGCAGAACTAGGTAGAAGTCTAAAAAAAGGTAATGGAACAGTTTGACATTTTGGGAAATATTCTCATTCGCTGTCTTGCAGAGAGTTAAATGATGTAATGCAGTTGGACATTTGACAAAAAATGGGAGCCATTCTGAGTCTGCCACACTATTTCCAATTTTCTTAATACAATCATGTTTTTATATAATTAACCATGCATTTCAG